AAAAAAAAAAAGAAAGAAAAAATTAAACACTCCACAGGCTATTGGACAAGTACGTAAACTAGAAATTCACCAAGGAAGAAGTACGGGTAGAAAAAAAGTTCATCCTTAACAATAATCAAAAATGCAAATTAAAACAATAATAATTTGATACCTCTCTTCACTTATTGGAGTATATGGTTTAAAAAGTGTATCTGGACAAAGTAGCACACACCTGTAGTCCCAGCTTTTGGGAGGCTGAGTTGGGAGGATGGCTTGAGCCCAGGAGTTCCTTTCATAACAAGACCCAATCTTTTAAAAAAATCAAAAAAAAAGTCCAGCTACTCAGGATGCTGAAGCAGGAGAATCGCCTAAGCCCAGGAGTTGGAGGTTGCTGTGAGCTGTGACACCATCTCACTCTACTAAGGGTGATAAAGTGAGACTCGAGACTCTGTCTCTTAGAAAAATAAATAAATTTTTTAAAAAATCAAAAAAATATAATTCCCAGGGTAGTTAAGAATGAAAAGAAATAGAGGCTGGGTATGGTGGCTCATGCCTGTAATCCTAGCACTCTGGAAGGCCAAGGCGAGTGGATTGCCTGAGCTCAGGAGTTCCAGACCAGCCTGAACTAGAGCAGGATCCATCTCTTAACTAGCCAGGCGTTGTGGCTAACTAGTCCCAGCTAGTGGGGAGACTAAGGCAAGAGGATTGCTTGAGCCCAAGAGTTTAAGGTTGCTGTGAGCTATGACACCAGGGCACTCTACCAAGAGTGATAAAATGAGACTCTGTCTCAAAAAAAAAAAAGAATGAAAAGAAATAGCCTTCTCACAATCTGGGTGGGAAGTAAATTGATATAATCATGCCATGTTTAGGAGTTAAATGATTCCTAAACAAGTCATCTAGGCTTTTTATGCCTCAGTTGCATCATCCACAAGATGGGGATAATACAACCTCTTTGAGCTGTTCTAAGAATTAAATGACAGGATGTTTATAAGGTACCTGACATATTGCCCAGCACACACTAAGCCCCAGTATATCATAGCTCCTATAATCACTATGATTATGCCCTCCTCTGGGGAGGAGTTGCTTTCATTTATGTATTCATTCATTCATTCATTCAACAAAGTTTTGACTGCCTACTATGTGTGAGGCATTGACATAGCTTAATAAATGAAAATAACTATTCCGCATAATTTATAATACAAAGTCTTAGAAACAACATCCAGAGAAGGGAGATATTTAAATAAATTTTTTTTCTGGAAACAGAGTCTTACTCTCTTGCCCTGGGTAGGGTGCTATGGTGTCATCATAGCTCACAGCAACCTCCAACTCCTAGGTTCAGGCGATCCTCTTGCCTTAGCTTCCCAAGTAGCTGGGGTTACAGGCGTGCACCACCACATCTGGCTAGTTTTTATATTTTGAGTAGAGATGGAGTCTTGCTCTTATTCAGGCTGGCCTTGAACTCCTTAAACAATCCACCTGCCTCAGCCTCTCAGAGTGCTGACATTATAGGCATGAGGCACTGTGCCTGGGCCTGTTTAAATAAATTTTGATATGGCCACTCAGTGCAATATTATGAAGATTACTATTGGAAAAAATATGCCCAAAGAGTTTAATAACTTGGAGAAGTGCTTGTATTATAATGTTACATGCATAATGCCAGGTATAAATGTATGATTTGAGCTCAACCATAGTTAAGAAGCAACAATAATAACAGCTGTCCATGGTTTTTTTGTGCAACAAAAAACCCAACAACATCCAGTAAGTAGTATCTACTGTTAGCTTTGGGAGATAATAATATGAGGAGGTCAAGGCTTGGTGCCCATCGCACATTGGTTACAGTGCCAGCCACATACACCAAGGTTGGCAGGTTCGAACCCTGCCTGGGCCAGCAAAACAAAAATGTCAACTACAACAAAAAATAGCCAGGCATTGTGGTAGGCGCCTGTACTCCCAGCTACTTGGGAGGCTGAGGCAAGAGAATCACTTAAGCCCAGGAGTTTGAAGTTGCTGTGAGCTGTGACACCATGGCACTCTACCGAGGGCGACATAATAAGACTGTCTCGCCAAAAAAATAAAATATATATGATGAGGTTGAATGTATCTTGTTATCTTCTTGGCTATTCTTGGGCCAAGCTGCAGAAGAGGCTGAGCAGCAGACCACATGGAAAAGTCCTAGGAGAAGGAGAAGGTTGCTGGCTAAGCGTGGCAGGATCATTAGGAGTGATCCTTGGGTAGAGTCAGCTGAGATGCAGAGGCTGCCAAAGGCAGAACTTGCTCCCTTGTGAACAGACATCAGCGTGTTGCTGGGTAAAGCATTTTAGCACAGAGCCTTTCTGAAGTCTCCTGTGCAAGTACTGAGAATGCTTCTGGGCTCTGCTTATCCCCCAGAGCCTGCCGTCACTTCTGAGCAAAGGCCTGTACACCAGCTTCTGCTGCTGCTTCCCGCAGTCCTGGTTCAACACACATGAATTCAAGTTTGCCATTTGTAGCACCATGAGCCTGTGGATTGCAGGTGAGAGGGCTGTCTTTACTACTGTGGAACACAGTTGTAGAAAAACGTTTTCCCTACAGCCTAGCTATGTAATTGTTTGTCACAGCACTCCTTCATCAAGGCAGTCTTCCTTTTCTATCCTTAACAAAGAAAGGGAAGTGTGGGAATTTTTCTGCCTCCTCAAAATAGCTGAGACATCTCTTCCTAATCCGCATTTATACTCAATGAGCTCTGCAGGGAGCAAGGGGCCCTTTCCAATAGAGATACCAGTTTCAGAACATACCATGATGGACCCAGGACTCAGGACCCCAGGTGGCAACTTGACACTATCTTTTTCAACTATCATTCAGTCCCCCCGCCCAACCTAGACATTTCCAAAGGCCATTAAACATGACTATTTATTGAGAGGTTCCTGTGTATTAGGTACTGTGCTATGTAAGCGCCTTTTCCATTTCCTATTGAGCTGGGGCTCCCAAGATCACCCACATATTAGGAGATTTGCATATAACTCACATGTCTCTGCGTGTAACTGTAGTCATGGCTACCTTTTGTTATAGTGGTGTAGTGAGCATGCACATCTGGGTCACAGGGGAAGACTCAAGCGTGGAGGGTCCCTATGCAGGCTCCCTTATGCTCTCTCCCTCCCACAGGGAGTCACACCAAGCACTCATCACCCTGTCCTGAAAATATAGCAGTGCATGTGTGGTGCCTCTACCCAGGGAAGCCCATCAGGACCCCAGCACCCCGGGTTTTCACTGGGATAGTGACATAGACACCTCTGTCACCACAGTTCCAGCAAAGCAGGTGTTCAGCACAAGCTCTATTGTTTGCACAGTGTAGGCACAAGGAGCCACTCTTTGTCAGTTAGGGAAAGTTTTATGTCAGTGTTAGAAACTACTTCCTAGCCAAAGTTCCTGATGCTAGCCAGGCTAGAGTCCCCTGGTGTCAGTCTAGCTCGCTGCAACCTCAAACTCCTGGGCTCAAGTGATCCTCCTGCCTCAGCCTTTTGAGTAGCTGGGACTAGAGGCACTCACCAGCAGGACCGGCTAATTTTTCTATTTTTAGTAGAGACGGGGTCTTGCTCTTGCTCAGGTTGCTCTCAAACTCCTAAACTCAAGTGTTCCTCCCACCTCAGCCTCCCAGAGTGCTAGGATTACAGGCATGAGTCAGGCTGCCTGGCCAAAACAGTCTTTTCTGAGGATAGTAGTCTCAGGCCTGCTGTGTTACCTCTTTCTTCTGCACACTCATTTAATCCTCTAAACATCCAGGATCAAAGAAGTCCAACAGTAAACAAATGAGGGGGCAGGCACTCAGAACCTGCACACTCCAAAGCTGGGTTTTCCGACTCTCTTCTCTTCTTGCTGTTCCACTTTCCTATCCCCCTTTCACCCAAGGCTGTGCCTCCTTCCTCAAACTCATCCCCAGTCATAAACTACTTACTCACTTACTTTATCCAGCGGAGCCAGCAGCTTTGCATAGTGACTCAAATAATTACGTGTCTCACGTAATCCTTGCATCACATATGTATGGAAAACCCATTCCTAGCACTTAGCTAAGGGTGATAATATGTTGAACAAACCTTTATTTACTAAGTTCTTACTGTATTTTTGTAATTAGGTGCCAGGTCTAGAAGTAAGTCCTAGAAGTACAAAGATGAATAAGACCCAACCCCTGCCCTCAGAGAACTCAGGGTATAGCAAGAACAGAGGAGATAGACAGGAAAACAAATACCTATAAGCCTTCACATTATAGCACATCATGGATTCATATGCTTGTGTGATCTGACCCTCACACCCAGCCATCCCTTATGCAGGGCAGGCCTCATCCTCCCCATTTTCCAGGAGAAACCAAAGCCCTTTAGAAAAGAAGTGCCTCTCCCAAGGCTGTAAGGACAGTATGGGGTGGTACTAATACCCGAAGGCCAGACTCTCTAGAGCTGTAGAGGGTCCCGAGGCCTCTGTCTTCCTGGGTTCTCACTTCCTACCTCCTGTTCTCTTTCAAAGACTTGTCTATTCTCATTCTCAACTCCCTCTTAGGTATATGTCCTTGCCTACAGAGCTATAACAATTGGGACTACTCAGAACTAGATCCAGAGCGATTCCGGACAGAAGAGTTACTGTTACAGAGGAAAAAAATGATGAAGAGTAAGATACCAGTTATGGTTTCCAGCCCCCTCACGAGACCAACCATCATTTAATTGAGGCAGGAAAGGGCAATAGCATTGATGTCCTCAAGCCAGGTTCTCTCTCAGGTATCTCCAAATAGCCCCCAAAATGGCTAGAATGTTAATGTCTATGAACAGCAGTCAAGGTCAGCACGCATGATTATTGGGATGCAGGGTATAGAATTTTATATTCAAGTAGAACATGCCAGTTAACGGGTGTCTACTATGTGCCAGGCACTGTCCTGGGTTCTCTGTCCATTCTATTCAGTCCCCAAGGACAACCTGCTGAAGTATACACTTTAGCTACATCACAGCAACCTCAGACTCCTGGGTTCAAGTAATCCTCCTGCCTCAGACTCCTGAGTAGCTAGGATTACAGGCAGTGGTCACAATGCCCCGCTAGTTTTTCTACTTTTAGTAGATACAAGGTCTTGCTCTTGCTCAAGAAGGTCTTGAACTCCTGAGCTCAAGCGATCATCCCACCTCAGCTTCCCAGAGTGCTAGGATTACAACTGTGAACCACATGCTGGCCCCGAAGCCAATATTTTTTTCCTGCAGGCTTAGTCCTTGCCCTGTGTACAGGGCTCCAGCACATGTTATTGCTCTCAGTTAGCTCATCAGTCCTAGAGGTAGATAGTATTTATTCACAGTTTCTAACAAGATGAGAGCGGTTAGGTAACTTGCCCAGCAGGTAGAATTAACAGAGGTTGGAGTGTGTGCTTGGGTGGCTTTCATGCCCTGTGGCAAAAAGGAACTAAAGAACAACTTTCTCCTTCCCCAGGAAAAGACTTTTCTTTCCTCACTTCTAAGAGTTTTTCCCACCAGAAGCTGCACAGCAGGAAGTCCGGCTACTTTCGGGTAAGTGGGATGGCACAGACCCGGACCCCTTGGAGCCCCATAAGCTTCAGAACGCTGGGGTTCTTTCAGAGCTCGGGTGACCTCCTGTCACAGTACATCTCTGTCTGCCCACCCTCATTCTACCCCATCTTCTCATCCTGGCCCTCAGAAGCCCCCAGGCCCCCAGCGGGTGAGTGGAGCACTAAAAGCCAACCCCAGAAATGCAGCAATTCAGAGGAGACAGGGGAGGAGCCAGCCCCTCAGTGGGAGCTGCTGCAGGAGGTGCTTTCAGATCTTTTTTTCTCTATGAATTCTGATGGCAAGCTTGAAATCTGGCAGTAACACCCACTTCCTCCTCTGCCCTGAGGTTTCTGTTGACACCTCTCAGCATCATCCACTCATGCCTTTCCAGCTCCCATGACGACCAGCTGGGCTCCTAACTGGTCTCCCTGCAAGCTCTCAGCTTCCCCTCAGGGAATCCTTCCAAAATTCCAATTACCTCATCCCCTCTCTACCTGACCCTATCCCCCCACCCTAAAATCCTCTGTCCAGCTGCAATAGAAAACACCTTCCAGGCAGTAGGCATCCTCTGGCCTTTGGTGTAGACTGACCTGCAGGGCCTTGCTTCTTCTGGACCAAACCCTTCTCTATCCTTTGGGCTCTTGGGGTTCCAGCCACAGGGGCCCTCTTTCAGTTTCTTGTATACACCACACTCAACACCATATATGTGGCCTCTTTACCTGCTGTTCCTCTTGTCCCAGGTAAGCTCCCATCACCACTGCCCTTGTCATTGTCAGCATTTCCTCCCAACTTTAACTCCAGAGAGGTCACCTTGGTAGCCTGCAATCAACCAAATACCAGAAAATGGCCTACTTTCTTCTGAAGAGCTGGAGAAAAGTAAAAGTCCAGAAAGGGGTTGGCAAACTACAAATGAGGCCTTTCAATAAATAAAGCTTTTATTGGCATACAGCCATGGCCATTTGTTTATTGTCTATGGCTAACTTTGCACTGAAACAGCAGAGTTGAGTGCTTGGAATTAAGACTTTATGACCTCCAGAACTGATCTGGCTCTTTGCAGAAAAATTTGGCAGCCCCTGATCTGGGATGTACATACTCATCCTTCTATCTCAATTCAATTTCCTATAGGGAAGGAAAACTCTTTCCTCAACCCTCTTAGGGAAAGTGTATGGAGCCCCTCAAATTAAATTGTTGAAAGACACTAACAGGAGAAAAGGCATTCAAATTTTATTTGATGTTCATATA